ATTGCTACTCCCCCATAACCTTTATCTCTATTAACCGCAATGACGTTAAAGTTATTAAACTTAATGTTGTCAGTAGGCTTATACCATGTTTCAGAAATTATTGCAATATCAAACTTTTCCTCCATTAAAATTTGGTAAAAAGAATTTTTGTTAGCTTTAAGAGATCTAGCGTTCCACTGAATAATTTTAAGATTTTGTTTAAGGGACATCTTTGAGTTTTTTTTTTTTGTTTTTTAGGTTTTAAATATATTATCAACAATGTTTTTAATTTTATTTTCAAACTCTATTCCTTCAAAATTTAAACTACTATTTGATAATGGATTCTGTGAAAATTGGTGAAAAAAACTTGTTAACATGGTAATTAATTGATGTTTAAGTGTTGAAAAATCATTTTGCGACTCTTTTCCAAACTGGAAGACCGGTCCTGCACAAAAGCTAGTATTATATTCTCGTCTAATGGGTGGAAAATTGGGAGAAGAATCACTAGTTTTTCTTTTTTTTTGGCAAGGGTTTAGGAGAAGATGGTTGATCATGTGTTGACCTAAAGTTCGATTTAGAAGAAGTATTAGGGACAGGATGTTGTGCTGTAGAAGTTTTTAAAGCAGGAAATTCTATATCCGAATCAATTAATGGGGCAAATTTATTTTTTTGTATGAGGCTAGAATAGGCCGGATTGTTAATAATTTTTTCAGCTTCTTTGAAAGATATATTCAAATTAGACATAGCTTCTTTGACTCTAGTTTGCTTTTTGAATTCAGGACACTCCTTATAAGTAGAATTGTGACTATTATTTTTGCAATAAACACAAAAAATTTTGCATGCTTCGCAAACAGATTCATTTTCTGACCCACAATTTCTACACCTTTTCTTTCCCCTACACTGTGAGCCGGAATGGCCATATCGGAGACAACGAAAACATTGCATAACTGGATTAATATAAGTTTCTACAGAGCATCTAACTTTGTTAATATAAATATATTGAGGAATAAGTTTTCCTTCAAACGTAACAATGATCATTTGACGAGGAACACGTTCCATATTGTTGTCTTTTTGGATGACTCTAGTCATGCGTTTTACTTTTTTGATAGGTACACTAGAATTAATCATTTTTAGGAGGGCCTCCTCGCTGTAGGAAGTATCTACAGATCGGACTAACCCGCGTTTTTCTATAAGATGACCAGGAATATATGCCAGTAAATTATTCTTTTCAAAGAATGGATCTTTAACTAATTCATTGGCAATACTGCCCGAATTAAGTTCGATTTTTATACGATTGCGACCAACCGTACTAATTTCAATAATATTTTTATCATACTCTTTTAGATCTATTAACTTTTCACCCAATTTCATTGGATGTAATCTCCCAATATTTAATTCTAAATGTTCAACAAAAACATGAAACGGTCCCAAATCGTTAGGTTTAAATCTATTTGTTAATTGGTATAATAAACGTTGTTTATCATAATACGAGTTTTTGTCGGATTCCAAGTTTTTGTCGAGTGTATCTGTACTAGATAATTCATTTAATTGATTATTATTTTTATTGTTTATACATGAACTCATATCAATATCTTCAGGTACAATGATATCCTCAACAAGAACGTTAACTCGACTATCTTTATTAAATTTACCATTCGGCGGCCCCTTGCCGCTGGTGGATGAGTTGTTTTCCCTGGACATTGGTCCGGGGCAGAAATATTCAAGAAATCAAAATCTACTTACAGTAGTTTTCCTTTTAAACACAAACTCAATATACTTATAACTAATAATGTGAACCAAATAACCCACAAACACCGATGTCACCTTGTACAGCGTATGATAGACGACCTTACTAGCCAACAGTCGGAGTACGAATAAAGGAAACAAGTTGTAGATTTAAATTTCAAAGGAAGATGGTTGTATATTTTTTTTGCCAAATATAATATAGATTTCTTCACTAACTCTGTGGACGGGTCAGTAAATACACATCAAATGTTGAATTTCTAGTGGAGTAGTTATGATTAGGTCTTGCTGGAAAAATATGTAGATGTTTACGAATTAAGAAAACAGCTCCTAGAATATATAAAGAGGGAATAGGTAAAATCCCATGGCTTCTGCAATGTGTTATTCTGCTGATTCCAAAACCATACTGTATTGCTCTTTTTTGTAATTTAAATATAACATCAGATTGGGCAGCTGTACTAGAACTCCAAAAAGGAAGGCTATATGGAAGATGAGATTTGAACAAAGAAAATATGTTATTTTAAAAGATGCTAAATTGATTTCCTTCTAAACAGACCTTATTGCATAGCAGGCTGAGGCTAGTTTCTTACTTAACAAATCGATATGAAGGGAGCATTTAAGGTTGCTGTATATAAAAATACCAAGCGATAATTGTTAAATGCTACTTAGAAATGAAATTGTACCTACACTAAAAAACAAGTTTGAAGCCAATTTGAATGATATGGTTTCAGCAAGACAGAGGTCCAGTTTATTTTGGTGTAAATGTTCGGCAATATTTAGATTTGAATATTTGTATTGAATGCCATCCTCGTTCACCCGGTTTGAATCCTAAATCCTAATAATTTTTATTGAGGATACTTGAAAAGTAGAATTTATAAAACTAAACTAGCAAGTGTTGCTGAGCTAAGGCAAAGAATTAACCATGAATCCATATTAATTTCTAGAGAAATATGGAGAAATGTAATAGACGCACTATACCATCGTTTAGAATAATGTCAAATTAACAAGGGAGGATACTGTGAATACTTAATTAGGTAGATATTAATTTAGCAATGTAATAAACTTCTAATTATTATGTTCAAATTTAGTGGTACATAGTTTGATAAAAAAAATATTGAGACGATTTTAGGCTCTTGTTTTATCTATTTAAGATGTTCCTGACTACATAAAATCGAAAGTATTGTATACGACTGAACTGGTATTAAAGTAAAGATTTCAATAAAGGTACAATATATAGGGTATTGTCTTTAAAAAACCAAAGTGAGTAATGATATCAGAAATATTGTATGTATATATCTAATGTTGCTACGTTAGAAACATCAAATCTTCATCTTACAAAATAGGCGTAAGCATTTGTATTTATTTGCTGTTTGTAATAGTCCACTCATACAGTGTTTCATATCTCTATTATCACTGTATTAAGGTTATAATCTTTTAAATAACTTTGATAGGTCCTTTTTGTATCATTAACCTTACGGATGTATTTTACGTTTTGAGTTTTATAGTTGAACTAACAAAACTCTGGATTACCACGAATAGTTGCTAGCCAAAATAAATTCTTTAATCCTTTAATAAAGTTTTTGGATATTTTTAGGTGTTGGTCTTATTATTGATGAATTAAAAAAATCTGGTCATTATGACAATACCTTGATTATATACTCGAGTGACAACGGAATACCATTTCCAAACGGAAGAACTAATTTGTACGATTCCGGCGTGGCGGAACCACTGCTAATTTCTTCTCCGTTACATAAAGAGAGAAGAAATCAAGTGACCAATTCATTAGCCAGTTTGCTAGATATCGTTCCTACATTATTAGATTGGTATGGAATTAAAGATGAGAATAATATTGAAGAAAACACAGTTGGGAAGAAATTCGATTACTTAACAGGAAAATCATTGTTGCCACTTTTGATTAAAGGTAATTTTAAAAAATTTTCGTTTCATTTTAAACATTAAATTTTATAAGATTTTGTAAATAGGATATACACATATAATAATAAATAAGATTTCAACGTATTTGAAACTCTTAAATGTGGAAGAAGAATCAATTACCTCTTTCTCCCCGTCTCTCTTTAGTCGCTTCCTCATTACTGAATGTCGTGATTTCCTACCACGCGAGCAACTATCTCTTCCCATCGACTTTTATCCTGGGCTGTTCTCGTGGACTGTCAGAATGTCTTGCCACTGGATTTCTGCACTTGAACTGTTCATCTCGT